AGAGAGAGAGAGAGAATTCGACGAGGAGGGGATGAGGGTCTCATAAATAAAAATAGTCTGCGCGAGGGAGGAAACGGGAAGAGGATGAGAGAAACGAAAGGCGGTCAACGAAACTGACTGAGATGGAAATATATTGGTGAGACGCGCGTTATTTTTAGAGAGGAGGAGGGAGAGAGGGGAAGTGGGCCCAAGAGGGAGGGAGTGGGAGGAGGACGGATAGATCCTTCGATCGTGGATCTTGGGGAATGTGAGGAAAGAGGCGAGGAGGCAAAGGGACCGTGGGCCCTGCAAGGGTCCCGCGGAGATCAAACGGGCCGCCTGCCACACGTCGACAGTGGTGCTCATTTATGGACCCCCCCATTGCATCGTGACACGTTGCATGAGATCTATTGATGAGTAACTTCAAGGTTTTTTTTTTTTTTTTTTTTTTTTTTTTAGTTTTGACGCGAAATGGAAAGACAATGGAATTTTTATCGTCGAATTATCTATCTTGTGTGAGTGTGAAAGAGGTATTTGGGGAAGGGTGAATATGTGGATTAAAATTAGATGATGGATAAATGGAAAAGTTTTATAGATTTTTTGCGTTATCTATTATGGATAATAATAAACTTGTTGATATGGTAGGTGATGAGTTTAAATAGAAAGTAATTTTACATAATGACTCACGAATGTCTTCAAAGTAGTGAGTTTTCCTATATTTTATGCCAACATGAAAATGTATGTGCTATTCCATCGTGATAATGGTAAGACTCGTAATCCTGGCATTAAGGAATTCGAATGAGATTGTCAGCATAGTATTATTGTTGGAAGCAGGGAACATCTAAGAATGTAGATTAAATTTTGTACGATAAATTAAATTATACGTTAAATTATATCAATTGAAAGATGGTTGTTGAAAAATAACAGATTTAAAATTTTAATTATCATTGTAAGAAATTATAATTGATCGTAGATATTTTGAAAAAAATTTGATCGAATATATTCAGATTTATTATTTCTTCATAAGTTTTTAAAATATCAACGTGAGCGAAATGATGCACAGATAATGCTTATCGATTATCTAAATGACACGAATATTTTACAAAACTGTTACAATTAATGCCAAAGTATGATAATTAGATGCAAAAATCGAGATAGCAACAGACGAATATTAATAAAATGCGAAACAGGACAGGTGTAAAGTCGAGGGCTGTTCTTAAAGTATTCCCCAAGTGTTGCCGCCCGTTTTAAAACTGAACCCCTCAATTAGAGATATCCATCGGCATAGACCGTGCTCAAGCATTCATCGACCCCGCATAACGATCGTCGTTAATGCTTAATATCTTTTAATTAAAAGTTAATCCATCAAACATTTTTCACCATGGATCGAGATCTTACAAGAATACAAGCTTGTAATTATCATAATAATCACTGGGGTTGGAACAATAATTACACGTCCGATATACATCATCTGATTTTAAATAAATATTTGACGAGAATAATTGAATTTATTCAATTTACAGTTTTACAAAGTTTTAATGCAGATGTTAAGTTTGTTTTCTAATATAAGTTTATGAAAAAATTGTGTCTAACAAATTTGGAATAATAAATGAAATTTGGAATAATATTGAATTTTTTTAAAATATTATTTTTAATCTTTTTAATCTTTAAAAGCTACTATAAGTAAAAACTTCAAGCACTTTGAAGCAAATGTTGTTTTAAGGTGATTTCCTCTGATGATAGCTTTTAAGAAACATGTATCGACAAACTATGGCCCAAGGGTCAACGGGTAAAACCCGTTGCTTTTATATGGTTCACGAGTTGAAAATATTTTTAAAATCTCAAGAAAAATATGCTTATTATTATTCAAATTAAGTGAAATAGGATCATATACCAACCTTAATAAGTTTTCTATTATAGAAAATATTTATATACAATATATAAATATAAGTATCGTCAAAGCAAAAGTAATACAGACAATTAAATTTTTTAATTTATGAATTTAAGGATAATCTTCTACGTCATTTTTATTTTAACAATCGATCCTCCATCTAAATCTATCTATCACAAATAATTTTGAGCTTCGAATGAAGGAATTACAATTGATCCTTAATTTTTCTTTTTTCCCAATTAATTTCATTTAACCATCATACAAGACCTAAAATCTCAATACAGCATGCTTGACAGGAAGAAAGAAATTTTACTCTTTTTAATTAAAAATTTAATACTTTCCCTCCACAATGAATTCCTTCGATTAGATTATCATCTAAAACTTACTATCTCTACGTCGTAGCAAAGAACTTAATTTTTCTCAAATTAAAAATTTAATCACCTACAACCACTCTGTCTCAAGATCGAATAAGTATCTCATTCTGCAGAACAGAAAGGACAACGAACGAACGAATTTCAACGGTGGACATTGAAGAAATACGAGAGAACGATCGTGATAGGGAGCACCTCTGAGCGGATATAC